GTCTTATTCTTGGTTATCTATTCCTTCTCTCAGATCACACCATCCCATCCAACTACCGGCCCATTAGCCTGCTCCCGGCTATGAGCAAAGTGGTAGAAAAAATTATCCTAACCCGTCTAAGAACCCACTCCCAAGAACTGCAAGTCATTCCAGACGAGCAGTTCGCCTTCCGACCCAATCACTCCACTGAACTCCAAATCCTTCGCCTTACCGAGCACATCACGGCGGCCTTCAACAGGGGACAGTACACTGGTGCTGTCTTCCTGGACGTCGCAAAGGCCTTCGATACGGTTTGGCATGAAGGCCTACTGATGAAAATGCTCACCAACCAATATCCCATATCCTTTACCAAACTCATAAAATCCTACCTACACCACCGAAAATTCCGCATCCAAATCCAAGATTCCCTTTCCACCACCCGTCCCATGGAGGCCGGTGTCCCCCAGGGCACCGTCCTGTCCCCACACCTATACACCATTTACAACTCCGACATCCCACATCCCCCCAACACCAACATATACTTATACGCCGACGACCTGACAATCACATCCCAATCCGTAGATCCTAGATATTCCGTCTACCTCCTCCAAAGCTCCTTAGACCAACTTGAAACCTGGTGCAACAGGTGGAAAGTCAAAATTAATCCCAACAAAAGTTCGGCTATCCTTTTTACCAAACGAAAAATCCCACAAAACCTTGACAGACTGACACTATCCCAGGAACCCATCTCCTGGAATCGACAAACACGATACCTGGGCGTGACGATGGACCAGCGTCTCACGTGGAAACCGCACATCGTGGAGACGGTGGCGCGAGCGAAGACCACCAGGGCTAGGCTCTATCCCTTACTCAAAGGTGGAAACACCCTCAGTTTAAGGAATAAGCGAACGCTTATCAAGGTGGTACTTCAACCGCAGCTAACCTACGCCTCCACGGCGTGGGGTCACGCGGCAAAAAGCCACTTAAAGTCATTACAGGCTGTGGAAAACATAGCCCTCCGCACGGCCACCGACGCGCCCTGGTACGTAAGAAACACTGACATATTACGAGACTTACAATACACAAACGCTACACAGACAATAAGACAAAACGCGGAGAAACGATTTGACGTAGCCGCTAGACATGACAATCCCCTCCTCAGGCAAGCCGTTGACTACGTACCCGACGTGACCGACAAACACAAAAGACCTAGACACCAACTTTTTGACCCTGGGTGACCACCCCAATGACCCCCCCCCTGCCCGCTAACCTTTTCTGTTTCAGAGACAGCCAGGATCAAGAAACGAAGACAACGACACACACACACACACATACACACCCCCCATACCCTCCTTACCCCTCCCCTCCCGCGCTAGCCTAAGGGCCACCTTAGCAAAGCGCATCCCAGGCTGCATAGCCGCACTACCCTACCCAACCATACCACACATAAACATGACACTACCCCCGGGGTTTACACAGACGAGCCGGCGAAGCAAGAAGAGCGCCAGAAGAAAGGGCCCTAGCCGGCGGGGCCCAGCCAGGACAAAAGGAGGTCCCACAAAGCGCCTACACCGGCCGCATTTGCGGTCGGGGTAGACGACGGATGGGGCCCACCTACGAAGGCTGTCCAGGCCTACACGAGATGAGGCAGGATAAAGAGGGATAATCCCCCTCGATCCCAAATCATTGAGGCCAATTTCTAGTCATGGAATAATGGCGCGCGGCGCTATTCCTTCTGCAGCATTACACCTAACATCGGATCATCGTCACCTTCACCCGGAAATACACAATTTTACACAATTTTGTGATAGGACGTTGCACTACAGAATTATTTAGTTTAAGTGTTACCACTCTTACTATACCGTCTTGCCCTGGGTGTATCTTGACTACACGTCCAACATGCCATTTTAAAAGAGGAACATTGTCTTCCTTGACCAAAACAACCATGCCAACCTTGATTTTATTACTTGCTTCTTGTAGCCACTTGACTCTAGTTTGTAATTCTGAGATATTGAGAATGCCACTTCCTCCAAAAGTTTTGTACCATCTGCTGAAGTCGTTCATAATACTTCAGTCTATTTTCAGGAACATGAACAACATTTTGTTCAGGGATTGATGTCAGCGGTTTTCCCACCAAAAAATGTGCTGGAGTCGAGGGAATTACTTGACCAGGATCGGAACTAAGAGGATATAACGGACGGGAATTAAGAATCGCCTCAATCTGAGCGTATAGCCCAGCCAATTTACTGGGCTTGAATTTTCCTCTCTTCTGATTTTATTTAATCTAAGACCCTAACTGGCATAATTAAACAACTCACGTTGTTGTGGACTGTATTATTTTATTTTTTACATACTCGGTACAATATATTTATGTTTATACGCTTTCAAAACGTCTATCTATCACGCGTTCTTATAAGTAACTAACTAGTTTGTTAGCCAACATCGACGGCTAGCATTTAGTCCCTGCCACCAGCCCTATAGGGTAGGCAACACCTTATACATTCTTAAAAATACCCGATACTAAATCAATACGGTATAGAGACCTTCAAAGGTTAATTGAGAATTTTCCAAAATACGTTTTAATTGATATTTTGCACTTTTAATTCCCGCTTCCCAGATCCTCCAAAATTAGGAGACCGTGCGAGGATGAAATTCCACGTTATCCCACGTTGTTAGCGTTATCAGCTAGTCGACTACTTATTGTGTTAGATTTTGTGGCTAGAAATTGAAACATTAACCGTAACTGAGCCTGAGCTCCTACAAAATTCTTGGCATTGTCTGAAAAAAGGTTTGTTGGCCTTCCTCGTCTGCTAATAAATCGTTTTAATGCAGCAAAAAAACATTCAGTGGTTAAGTCGCTTATTACTTCCAAGTGAATAGCCTTAACTGTCATACACACAAAAAGACAAATGTAAGCCTTTGTTAGTTTAGCACCACAATCACAAACATCCATGGGTACGACCGTTACCACTGATCTCGGTGGTAACGGTTCGAATCCCGTACGCGGCAGGAGAATTTGCCTGTCGTACCGTTAACACCGAGATCGGTGGTAACGGTCGTACCCATGGATGTTTGTGATTGTTAAGGTGGGGGGTAGTGTAAGTTAGCAAGCACAAGGGCCAAGCAGGGCCTAATTGCTGGTAAGCTTCATGACCTTTACCTTTTTTACTCTTGTAGGGGCCGCCCTCCACAAGCAGCGTCAAAACACAAGCGTCAAAAGTAATGACATATTTAAATTTAGCATCCTAAAAAACACTCTTACCTCAAGTTTTATGCCAACATCCAAATCTGTTTGGTAATTATTTCTAAAAAATCGAAAAAAATAAAAAACTTTACCTGTATATCGAAAACTAAGCATTTGTGGACCCACGTTTATAGAAAAAGTCTTATTTTAACCTCAAAAATACGCCCCTAAATTCTTTGCATTGAATTTTGAATCATCCTGTACCGATATTTATTTGTGTCGAGTACAATTCATTCAATTTTCAATAATAGGTATTGCATAAACAATGAATTATTATTATTACAGTGTTTTATATTTTGCACAAAGTAGATTTAATGCTTTGTGGCGTTTGGTATGCTTAAGATTGATTGGAAGCTGTGACAAAATGGCAGAAAGAAGAAAGGAAACCATATAAGTTACAAAGTAAGTTTCCTTTAAACCTACCTACTATTATTTGTATATTTTAACGAAATTACAAGAAAACGAAATAAAATATGGTATGTATTGGCAGTTTCATAAAGATTAATGAAGTTATAACAAAACTACCTTCATCAAATTTATTGGAAAAGAACGCTTCTAGTGGAAGTGTCACTAAATCTAATTCTTTGCAAAATCCCGTCCTAGAACTATCTTAGTTATAAATGAGCTTGGGTCAATCATTTCTTGTTTTGTTTTTTTTTTTACACTCCTTAACATTAATTGTGGTGGAGAAAATAGGAATACCTTTTCTACCAAAAGTTAAAGAAGCACGTTCAATTGAAAATAGTAATCATATCAAAAATTTAAAACCAAAGTGGAGTGGAACCATTGTCAATTTTTAAGAAGTCAACTAGGTTATAGGTCAATATGTGGAAAAGAAAAAACATATTTATATAATAAATTGTTAACGTTTTATTAACAAACATATTTTTTTTAAATGCAAATTGTAATTGTTTCAGTCTTACCGTTTTATCTAAAAAAGGTCCTTATGATTATTATTAGTTCAAGTTTGACCAAAAAGCCTGCAAATATAGTCATCGTAAAAATGTTTGACTAAAATTATGAAATGTTGATAAATATGTAGGTAACTTATTTCTAGCAAAAAGAAAATGCAAAAATATATTTCTTTATTTCAGAATTAGTAACCAAGAAGAAATAGACTGCGAGATATGCCAGAATATTATTTACTGCAAACAAAATAAACAGTTAACGAATTTATTATTAAGAGTAATTATTATCCCCTTCCCATATTTTATATTTTTAGCCATGAATATTTACAGTGAAGTTTAAAATACACATAGAACGTTACTGACATGTTCAGAGAATATCCCCAGAAATATTCATGTAATATCTATCATATTCCATCTCATACCCGTAATATATTCTAGGTATATTCTTATAATAATCTGACTAATTAAACATTTTACCAAGTATATTCATCTAAGAATATTCTTATTTTAGATACTCTATATATATATTCTTTGAATATTTGTGAATATCTACAGAAAATTTCAAAATGTATAGTTTATCTGAAATATTCCAATATTCTGTGAATATTCTCAAAAGTATAAATATATTTAAAACAGAATATTCATAGGAATAATTAAAAATGTTCTGAATCGAAAATACTCGGATTATTCTGGGAACATATTGCTGTCTGGGAGGGGCAGGGAAATGACAAAAATGAATTCATTGCAGTTCTCAGTGATTTGTTTTTTAGAAAAGACATGGTATATATTATCACATTACACGTCACGTAAGGGATTAACAAAAAAGTTACTATAATTGGAATAAAATTTACATATTAGGTATATTACGTTACAATTTTTTAAAGTTCTTCTGTCCTTTTTCGACTTTCATCAGTCCCTGGGTAGCAACCACAGAAAAGTCAAACACTCACAAAAGTCAAATAAGACACAAATACCTTCGCAAATATCCATCTAACACCCGCACCATCATCATAAAACAATATGCAAATTACTTGGACAGCTGATTCTAAGCATACCGGTGACGTAGGCACTGACGTAATGGCCCCCATGACACCGACCTTACCAGACAACCGATCTATTTAGGAACCGTGACTTTCCATATCTGTGGTTTGCAAATTTTACACAGATTGTAATAAAACTGGCGGACGGCGGACTAATTGAAACGACTAATTTCAGATGATTTTACCCTAGTTATACTTGAAATTTACATAACTCTCCCCGAGCAGGTTGTGTTAAAATTGTTTACTTAATACACATTTCATCATATAAAAGATTTTTAAACCATGTAGTCAAATAAATATTTTTTAATAGGAACTCTCCATGGACCTACAAATATGTAAGACAAATTGTTTTTGATTCTAATCTGTTGTTTTCGTTATTATACGTTCCTAAATTTCAATATTTTAGGAAATACATCATTTGATCAAATGGGAACAAGGTCGAGGATCTCGGGTTAGAAGAAGAAGAAAAATGGAGGTTAGTGATTGTTCTCGTAATTTATATTTTTATTATTTGTACAGTGTGCATTTTTTATCATTTTTGTTTGTTAAATTGAGCTAAAATGGACAATAAAAAGGAATATCTGTGCAGACTGTGTCTTAGTGCAATATGTGATGAAAATTTCGAAGTGATAAACGAAATTACTACAAAAAACTTAGAGATGATCTTACCAAACACAGTAAGCTAACATGAAGTTTATTTGTAAAATTTAAGAAAACACGCTTGTTTATACCCTTTACTTTAATTTTGCGTTACTCTGTTTACTTTAAACTTAAAAGAAGCTAAGTGATATTTTAAATATAAAAAATATATATTTTTGACATGTTTTGTTCATTCCATTTTGAAATGTTTACAATTTCATTAATTGTATTCAAAATTTCTTTTTGTTTGCCATTTGTGTCGGTGATATTTGAATAACTTTTTAATGTAAAAGTTTATAGGGTATATTATATATTTAAGTAAATTTGACATTACTTTATAGACATTAAACTAAAATATAGTATAAATTTCATTACAGCTTGTTGTATTTTAGAATTTGGAGGTAAGCGAAAAGCCAGTGATGTGTAATATTTGTTCCGATAGACTCAAAGATGCATTCAGTTTTAAGTCTGCCTGCCTTAGTAACAGTAACTGCGCGAGTGTCGTGGAAAACGTACCCAAAATTAAAGTGGAATGTTCTGATGAAAATATTTGTGACAGTAAATCTTTTGATGAGAAAAAATGTTTTCTGTGTGTGCAGTTGATAGTTGACCATCCTATCTCATTAGCTGCAGAAGGAGAGGAAATTAGTTCGGCTAGAAATATGATCCAGAAATATATACCCGAGATGGTAAGTAAACCTTTCAGTATTAGATAGTAATCTCTAGAAATTAAAGGAAATATATCAGATCAGATTTATTTTTCATTAATACAAATATGATAGATATAAATAAATATATAGCAGAGAAATCATGGGGTTTGATACTCAAAAATAAAACACAATTAACATAAATGACATTATCTGATTAGTACCTAGGTAGTTCTCGTAATTTATAGATTTTTCCGAAACTTTTTCACGTAAGTAAGTAGTTACAAAAATTAAAAAACATATTCAAATACTTTTGCATTTTTAATGTGTTTAGTTAAATTTCAAATAATTTTTTTAATTCTGTTATAATTCGTACGTGTGACAGAGATAATTGAAAATTTTTAATATAATATATTAAATAGTTCTGAAGTATCACCCAAATAGTATTCAGTATTACTCAAATATTACTCAAGCTTGTACATCTGCAGTTTTTAATGCTTTGTGGAAGCTTGTATTCGACGGTTGTTTATTTCCAACTGACCTCATTCTGCAAATTATGGAGAGTAATTTCTCTGCGAATAAATATAAAATAATCAAAGATTCAAATGAAAGAATTACTTAATTATATATTTCTGAACTGTACAGGGAGTCCCAGAATATGTGAGCAATCTCTCGTATTTATACAAGGGATGTTAAAATAACATGACAAGAGGAGATACAGGCCCCTAAAGGATGCCCCTGAAAACCGATTTTTAAATTTGTTTTACTTTTAAAATACTTTGTCTAATTTAATTATTTTTTAATACAATTGTCAACAGATAAGACTCCTTAAAAATTGACCCACGAAAACAATTTGGCGCATTTAGTTTGCCAAAATAATATTTTTAGATAGTTTGAACTAAAAATGGCACTATTGGTTGATATCGATAAAATTAAGTTTTCGAGAAAAAAATATTTATGTTTAATATAATTTTTATTACACCTGTAAAGTGAAATAAATGGATGAAATTTACATTCTTTCTGTGCCTATTTAGAAAAATGCCACTTTTATTTACATTTGTGTTTCTTAAAAATAATTAAATTACACAAAGTATTTTAAAAGTTATTTTAAAAAAATTGATTTTCAGGGACGTACTTTAGGGGCCTGTATCTTCGTAGGGGTACCTTCTAGGAAAAATCTTTACAGGAACTTGTCATGTTATTTTAACATCCCCTGTATAAATCTGAGAGATTGCCCATATATTCTGGGACACCTTGTATATTAAATAGTTACTCAAATATTACTCAAGCTTGTACATCATATTTTTTTTATATATTATTTACATTATTATATACTTATATTATTTATCGAAGCGTTAAAATTTGGCACATTTATTTGGACTATTATGACATATTACTTCTTAAACCTTTTGTCTAATCGATATACTGGGTGGCAGTTTTCTCCAATTACATCCCCCTTTTAGGCGTCAAAACTTTTACAGTAGTCGTATTTTTTTTAAATGGACACCGACGTTGAAAAGGTTTTATTTAAAAAAAAGTTGTCTCTTGAGAAAATCATCTACAGAAAACCATTTTTGAGAAAATTTGCAGGTCTGTATGTTTCGGATTGCGTAGCAGTGTCAGGGAAAACTTCAAGTTTAGTAGGTGATGAAAACAAAATATTGATTGATATAGCTACACATGCAAATTATGAAAATTTACAACTCCATTCCTTGTAAAGCAAGAGTTGTCGGTAAAAATTTTCAAGTTCATGAGCAGGAGTCACATGAAAGAAGTTGCTGTTTTAAAATTCTGTGAACATTAGTTTTACATAAATTTAATTGTCTTAATACACTATGGAATAACGTTAAGAGGTCATTTCTCTGTAAGCTCGTACAGGTCCCATACAAATGCTATCCTGGCAATTATTTTTATAATTTGCCAAAAAACCGTGTTCTATTTCGAAGAAAATAATCTATTATTTTAGTTATATAAGGAGGCCCACTGAATTTATTTATACAGGGTGTCCCCGGTTCGGGTTGCCTATACCTGAAATGGATACAAAATTTCAATTGTCAAAAAAATCATTCTTCATAAAAATTTTTGCTTGTCCAGAAACCCTTGGCAAGATAGTCATTTGTTCAATTTAATGTACAGGGTGTTCAAAAATTTGGAAAAGGTAAAAACAGTGAAGAGTAAAGTACCTTAAATCTTAAAGCTACGCGAAAAAGTAATGGGGAAAAGTTGCTTGGAGTTAAATTTTATGTTTAAATATGAAAGCATGGCCTTCTAGTTAATACTCGACATTCTGGGATAATCTAGGACTCTACTTATTTTTTAATACTTTCGAAGAAGCCATTCTAGTTAAAAAATATTGCTTTATTGAAAAAAGCAGATACACACGTTTGCATATTAATAATTTATTTTTTATACAGGGAGTCAAAAACTTCAAAAACATTAATCCAACATTTATTTTGAGAACACGGCAAAATCAGTATGTACGCGCCACTACAAAACTATTCTACATGAAGTCTGCCAAGTTCAACAAACCTCTCCAATCTTTTTCTATATGCAGCGTAGGTCTAATGTATCATTTCAACATTTACTTGGGCAGCAGCTTCAATTATCCTGCTTTTCAAGAAATCAAAATTATGTTGCACTGGTTCTCTGTACAGTCTTTCTTTCAAGAAGCCCCAAAGGAAATAATCAAGCGGCGACAAGTCAGGGGACCTTGCTGGCCAACAAATAGGACCATATCCACTTCTCTCGAAACTTTCTGTTAAGCCAATTGCCGACTAGAATTGTTGAGTGAGCGGGACATCCATCTTGTTGGAAATACGCTTTTTGTCTATATTCCAAATGTTCTAATTCTGGCCAGAAAAACGTGTCTAGCACCTTCAGGTACGTATACTGATTTAAATTTGCTATTTGAGGTTTTTGATCCCCCTGTATAAAAAATAAATTATTAATATGCAAACATGTGTATCTGTTTTTAAATAAAGCAATATTTTTTAAATAGATTGGCTTCTCCGAAAGTATTAAAAAATAAGTAGAGTCCTGGAATATCCAGAATGTCGAGTATTAACTAGAAGGCCATGTTTTCATATTTATAATTAAAATTTAATTCCAAGCAACTTCTTCCCATTACTTTTTCACGTAGCGTTAAGATTTAAGGTACTTTACTCTTCACTGTTTTTACCATTTCCAAAGGACCCCGCACAAATCTTATGGAAATTGAATTTCGGTCTAATTATTTGAAATTTTCAGAATAGTTTCTTGAAGTCATGCTGAGAAAAAGTCTTCATGGGCACAAAGTGCCAAGATGCTCCGGAGCCGAGATATGAGCGATGGGAAGTTGAAAAACGCGTTTTTCATATCTCAGGCTCCTATAATCGGTTTTACGGCATCTAAACATTTTCACTGCAAAAAAAACGTATAACTCAAATCATACTAATCTATCTAATAATAACTAATCTATGGAGTAATGGGATCACATCTCTATACCCTCTATCTAATATAAAAATATCGCCTTCTTGTAACCAGTCGCGCATTATATCTTCATCTCGACTCAAACGGTTAGCTAAAATATTCGCGTCATTATTTGCTGCGTTAGAAAAGTATGGGCCCTGTATATCCAATATATAGCCATTTGGAGCAACGAAAATTGCTGGCTTCAAAAGATGTCTACCTCTATGAACGCAATACGAACGTCTTAAAACGTCAAAACAAGAGCTTTTTTCAATATCAAGGTAGGTGCAATCATTGTAGATTATTGCTTTTGGCTCTTGAGGTATTTCATTATACAAATGCGTCGCATATTCAGTGACATGATTTGCAATATATTCTTGCCTCATAATAGCTCCAAATCCTATATTTTCTGGAGTAAACCTTAGAGTCAGTGACTGCCTTACTGTGGCGATTGCTAAACTGGTAGACTGTCTTGAAGTATAATTAAAAATTACTTTCAAGAATTCATCGCTAACACCTTGCCGCATCTTGCAAAGAAAACATAAAAGATCCTTCTTGTGAACATATCTATGACCATTCTCGACTATTATAGGATCGCAATAAGTATACAATTCATTATACTGTTCTTTGTTTATTGGAGAAATTGTTTGAAATTCTTCATCTGTAAAATCGGTTTCGTCATCATACTTGTGATTTGCTACATAATTTACCTGTTCACGAAAACCCTGTAAGAATGCATACAAATCTGNAAGTAACAAGTAAGTCGTTTTCATCGTCATCAATCTCATTAATTACGGCAGCATAACGGTATTCTACATTTTTAGTTGGAAATTTCACAAGAACGTAATCTCCAGTATTGTAACATGAATTCCGAGTGCCACTTGTTCCTGCTATATCATCATCCAATCTTTGAGGGGACTTGTTTGGTGTAGGTGTCAATTCAGGTTCAGCAGATTCAAGATCTTCCGGTTCGGACTCTGTAAACACTTCTTCTACTGTCCATCTAGGTTTTAGAGCCAAGTTGATACTGCCAATCTTATAATGCTCACAAGAGCCAATGTTGCAAAAGCAGCTGAGACTTTTCATTGTTCGAGTTTTACATTTACTTGGAAAGCTGAGGATGAACCTGGAATAAACACCTGCGACCTGATGCACATTTAAAGTGCCTTTAAAACCCTTCTGATCGGCCGATTCCTCTTCAATTTTATCGACCATTGCCTGAATGCCTTTAACGTCGATTGCAATACATGTGATGCCAAGACATCGCTCTTGGATTACTTTAACAAACTGATCAATATTGTTGATGTTGCCTCCAGAATTAACAACAAAATCAGCTGTTCTTTTGCACGTTGCTCCGATACCATCTGGTGCACCTTTTCCATGGCCACTTTCGGTGTAGTTCAATGTAAAGTTTTCAATATCTGGAATTTCTTCAGAGAGTTTGCTTGCCATTATAAAGAACATAGTTTTATTACGATACTGCGTTACAGGGCCATCGCTCAGGAAATGCACTCGTTTGATGCCATGTGGAAGAGTCTTGAAAATTGGTCGCAGATGTGTCCAAATGGCAGCAGGTCAATGGGTTATGTTCTCGG